GTTATGTTCTGGATATTGACTGGTTCTCTCTCTCTGATGTTTTAATGTTGTTTTGTTTTCTGTCTGTATGATGTTCTAGATGTCGATTAGTTCATTTCTCTGCATGATCTTCTCTCTAGAGGTTGATTGGTTTTCTCTGATGGTTTAGATGTTTCATTGGTTCTCACTCTGATGTTCTAGATGTTGGTTTGATAGCTGTCTGTATGATGTTCTAGGTGTGGATTGGTTCTAACTCCCTGTTTGACGTTCTAGATGTTTTTTCCATTTCTGTGATTTTCTAGATGTTAACTGGTTCTCCCATTCTGTATGATATAGATGTCAGGTAGTTTATTTTTCTTTACGATGTTCTCTCTCTCACTCTATATGATGTTCTAGATGCTGATTGGTTCTCCCTCTGTATGATGTTCTAGATTTAGTTTTTCCTTTCCATTTGTATGATGATGTAAATGTTGGTTAGTTTATTTTTCTGTGTGATGTTCTCTCTCTGTGTATGATGTTCTAGATGCTGACTGGTTCTCTCTCTCTCTCTCTGTAGCCGTTCCAGGGCTTTGGGGACGCAGGCTTCCACATGTCGTTTGGAATCGGAGCTTTTCCCTTCGGTTTCTTCACTACAATCTTCAACACCAACGACCCTTTTCACAGAGCAGGTGAACCTCAGCATAGGCTCTAGATATTCATATATATCATATATAGTTCAGCCCCACCATTCAGCTACAGCAGTTTAGCTCCACCATTCAGCTACAGCAGTTTAGCTCCACCATTCAGCTACAGCAGTTTAGCTCCACCATTCAGCTACAGCAGTTTTAGCTCCACCATTCAGCTACAGCAGTTTAGCTCCACCATTCAGCTACAGCAGTTTAGCTCCACCATTCAGCTACAGCAGTTTAGCTCCACCATTCAGCTACAGCAGTTTAGCTCCACCATTCAGCTACAGCAGTTCTGCTCCACCCATTCAGCTACAGCAGTTCTGCTCCACCCATTCAGCTACAGCAGTTTAGCTCCACCCATTCAGCTACAGCAGTTTAGCTCCACCATTCAGCTACAGCAGTTTAGCTCCACCATTCAGCTACAGCAGTTTAGCTCCACCATTCAGCTACAGCAGTTTAGCTCCACCATTCAGCTACAGCAGTTTAGCTCCACCCATTCAGCTACAGCGGTTTAGCCCCACCATTCAGCTACAGCGGTTTAGCCCCACCATTCAGCTACAGCGGTTTAGCTCCACCATTCAGCTACTGCAGTTCTGCTCCACCCATTCAGCTACAGCAGTTTAGCTCCACCATTCAGCTACAGCAGTTTAGCTCCACCATTCAGCTACAGCAGTTTAGCTCCACCATTCAGCTACAGCGGTTTAGCTCCACCATTCATCTACAGCAGTTTAGCTCCACCATTCAGCTACAGCAGTTTAGCTCCACCATTCAGTCTACAGCAGTTTAGCTCCACCATTCAGCTACAGCAGTTTAGCCCCACCCATTCAGCTACAGCAGTTTAGCCCCACCCATTCAGCTACAGCAGTTTAGCCCCACCCATTCAGCTACAGCAGTTTAGCTCCACCATTCAGCTACAGCAGTTTAGCTCCACCATTCAGCTACAGCAGTTTAGCTCCACCATTCAGCTACAGCAGTTTAGCCCCACCATTCAGCTACAGCAGTTTAGCCCCACCATTCAGCTACAGCAGTTTAGCTCCACCATTCAGCTACAGCAGTTTAGCTCCACCCATTCGCACTGAGGTAATAAGGAGTGTTTCAGCACTGATTTTTGAATGAGTCACAATACGGGTAAATCAATCAGAACAGAGTTCATTTACATATATCAGTCTTAAAGCTACATTAATTATGGTTTTTTTTTGAGACTTAAAACCTCACAGATATTATAAGTGAACCTAAAAAATGAAATACCATAATAAAACAGAATTTGGGCCGAATATTCAAGTAAATGTTTATTATTTCCTGTTTTCTGCTCTTTTAGATCCTCACTATGCAGGAGATCACCAAGGCAACGGTAACCCGAACAACGGCAACAACTGGCAGGACTCGCTCTTCCTCTTCCTTGCCATCTTTTTCTTCTTCTGGATGCTGAGTGTGTGAGTGCGTGTGGGCGAGAGAGGGAGAGATACTGAGAGAAAAGGGGAGAGAGAGAGAGAGAGAGAGAGGGCAGAGATTAGTGGACTCATACACATACGGTACTGTTAACAGACGAGCTCTGTGTGACCCCACGCTCAGCTCTGTCTGGAGACGTTTTTCTGTTTTTATTTTTGGGAGGAATAACTTCACTCTTTCTGTCTCTCGCTCAGTGTTTTCCTCTTCCTGTCTGTCTGTCTGTCTGTCTGATTTGTACATATATGCACTCCTACACTGAGAGACAGACTGATACACAGAGATGTGAGGCGTGATTAAAGACGAGAGAGAGACCGTAAAACGGCCGCACTGCAAAAATGATATCTGAGCAAGAGGAAGCGTCATATACAGTTGTGTGCAAAAGTTTGTGCGCCCCTGTCAAATTCCATGTTGTTGATTTGAGTGTAAATAAGTGAATACATCCTCTACGGAGACACACTACTGAACATTATAATACATGACTACTGTTTATTTACTGAATTTAGCATACTGGGGGAAAAATATACCATATAATATGATCTGTGCAAAATTTATGGCACCCTTTTTAGGTTATGATTTGTATTTCCAGTTAGTTGGATGTAGGAAATTGCGCACTATAATTTGCAGAAACTGCTATATGTGAGTCTCTCTGTAAAGCAGTGGTGCTCAATCCTGGTCCCGGAGATCTACCACCCTGGAGAGTCCAGATCCAACGCACCAAGCTCATGTACTCAGATGCCCCTGCATGCCTTGATTACCTGGATCAGGTGTGTTAGATTAGGGGTGGAGCTAAACTCTGCAGGGTGGTGGATCTCCAGGACCAGGATTGGGCTCCCCTGCTGTAAAGGATGTGTTAACTTATTCAGTAAAACCTAAATTAACCGAAGGTGTTCAGATATTTGCATAAGACTGTATAGTGCACTAAGTGAGCTTTGGCTTCTACACCTGTATAGTGGACTGTATGTCCAGCAGTGAGTTGTGCACACATGCCTGAATCCAAAATGGTCTTTGTCAGACATGTTGTGGACTCTTTTGGGTGCAGGAGCCATTATTTTAGGACCTACCTAGGGCACTACATAGGGAGTAGGCAGCCTTTTGAGATGTAGCCGAGGAGTTTTATGACGGTCACTGAGTCTCCCTGATGGTGTTTTGATGCTGTTTTGGACTTTACAGAGCAGCAAGATCAGAAAAAAAGAGTGAGTGAAGAAAAGAAGCTTTGGATAGACACACACAGACACACACACACACACACACTCACACACACACACTTGTGCATCTTTGCCACTCTCGGAGGAGGTTTCCTTCTGGGTTAAAAAGCTCTTCTCTAATCTTAACGCTAATCTAATCGTCGTTTTCACAGCTCCACATTAAGCAACAGATTTTCATACCAAAGAAAAGTCTTTTTACTCAAATGTTAGTTTAGTGATGTACTGAGAGAAAGTGGTTAAAATAAATAAATAAATAAAGCAGTAGATGAATATGTATGTGAAGTATTGGGGTGGGTTGTATTCGTCCCCGTTGCCCCTCCCACACAGCATTTACCGGCCTGTGCACTGTGCTAGCGTTTAAAGCTGAGGGTCAGTGTTGGTGTTATTTTGTCCCTGAGCTGAAGGTCCGGAGTTTCTGAGAGCTGGAGGTGAAGATCAGTGTTCAGAGGGGTGAAAAACCACAGCTGTTAATCTCGGACCTCAAAGGATCCAGATTATGATTCTTTAGCAAAGGATTCAGTGCATCATAAAAATCCCACCTTTCATCACGATTCGATTCAGTTTGATTCAGATATGTTGCAGGTGACTTCACTGAAGAACAACACGTGTAAACAAAAATACAAGCTAGTGGAGTAACTCAATATGTTGCATACAACTTTGTTTGAAATGCTTTGTGTAACTATCAAGTTGAACGGAATTATGTTGCAGGCAACTCACAACTAGTTGCACAGAAGTTTCTCTGTAAAGCCTTAGAATGTTTAAAATGCACTAAATACATAAAAATAACCAGAGGAACTGTTTACACAGTTGTGGAATAGAGACAGTTTTTTCTAGATCTTCTACAAATTTTATTCTAGTGGAATATAGACAATAAGAACAGTAAGGGTTTATTATTTTTGTTTTTTTGATGTTTTTACTAGATTTTCTCCCAATTAAATTTACTCTTTTTAAAAATACACTGAATAGATCAAGATCACTGGAGGAACTTTTCCCCCCCACATTTTTCCATTTTTAATGGTCTTCCCTTTCAGATCGATATAGAGCAGCCTGAGAGATCAAACTGCAAAGGCTTCCATTAAAACTCTCCAAACATTCCAGTAATAATGCAGTTGAATTGCCACCTTCAGACTTTTTACACTCCAGTTAAGAATGCATTTGTCTGTTGATCCAACTGCGTTCATTTTGGGATGTTAGAATTCATTATAATGAATTATTATGATATTCAGTATAATATGGCCTTAAAAATTACAGGCTATTTTCAAACATGACAAACCAAAAAACACACCTGCTGTATAGTTTTACTGTCTTCATTCCACCACTGTGTGACCAGGTCCTCCAATTCCACTTAAAACACTGCGTGTGTTTATGTAAAGAATTCAGAATCGGATGAAATCGTTGATATTTCAGGTCATTTAATCCTGTCCTGAAGAGTCGTAATCCTGTGAGATTGACCTGCTGGTGTTCATCTCAGCGTGTCCGAGCTCCAGATCGGGCGTGTTAGTGTTAAAGCTGGTGAAGAGCGCTGCTTCCTGTTCGCTCGTGTGTGTCGTGCGTCTCGTGTGCCAGTCCACTCGCTCTGTTATAATGCTAGTCTGGTATTCACAGATTTAACTTCGAAAAACGAGCGTTTATAAAGTCCCTTTAGAGTGAATAACCCTCACGTGCACTGATATTAGATATAAATCAGTCAGGGAATCTGAGAAGGTGTTTTTGGAGAAAGTCACAGGGTAATCAGCGCTGTGGTTACGGAGCCGGGCTGATCCATACAGGCAGAAAACCAGTATTGTGATTGATTTGCTACATTTTGGGATTGTGATACTCATCGGTGATACAGATAAAGATTGGCCTGCGTCATTTTGATCAAAATTATTAGCGTTTGTTGAGTCATGTGACCAAAATTACAGCAAAATCTACAACTTGACTACAACTTTTATCATTTCTTACATCACATTATTCAAGAAGATTTAATCATTTTGAATCCATGTCACATGGAAAAGAAAAAGCCCATGTAGAACATCTGAGATTGATCACAATAAGTCATGAAAAAGCACTGTGATTGGTTACAGGGCTCATTTGCATATTGCAATAGAGGTGGGCAATATGGCGAAAACTAAAAACTAGGACTAATTATCCCCTTTGTGTAAAGATACATGCAGTTCAGTGAGCTTAAGCACTGACGATACCTATCTGAAGCGTATTGTGACATATTGTGATGTATTTTATCACGATAACTGTTGCCATATTGCCCACCGCTGTAGTGCAGCCATCTGCAACCTCTGTGTGGCAGAGGCAATATCACAATAAACGATATACTGTACAGTCCTGGGTGTAAATTAAGCCCAGTTTTGGTCTGAATCGCTCTGTCATGTGGGTTCATCATCATTAAAAGACCTTTCCAGCTTATTACTAGGCTGAATCTGGGTGTGGGAGTCAGGACTGGTTTACCTCTAGAGGGCAGTATTTGCAGGTGTTGCGTGGAGTCCACCTTCAGTAATTACGCTAAAGGTGATTTTGTGTATTTATTGTGCTAAAACAGTAAAGCTCTGGCCTCACAGCTCATCACTTACTTTCAGTTGTCAATCTCTTCACTGGTTCCAGCTGCGCGGATAAAGGCAGCGCAAGATTTACTGGACTGGTTTCACAAAATCCAGACAGTCAGACACTCTGAAGTAGTCATAATTAAAGGGGAAGCCCACTGAAAATTACATCATTAAACCATTGAGATGTAAACAGAGACATTCAGAGTGGTTTGGTGTGAAATGGTTCAGCTGTCTTTACAGTGGTGGTGATAGGAACCAGGGGTCGCCATGACTACAACACAAATATAGACATTTTATTTACTATCCAGAACCACCAGTGAACCTACACGAGTCTTCTGAGTTCATATGGAATGATGATGATGGGAAACAGTGGAAAATCTGAAAAAATTAGTTTTCTTTGGGGACCCTTCATGTGCCCCTGCCCTGCCCTGAATGGACCCCAGATCATCTCTAAACTATCCTAAAACAGTGTCTCAGTCATCAGGCAGTGAATTCATAACCATTTCATGTAGGAACTTTCTGTGAGGAGCTTTTAGACTGAAAAAAAACGGTGTCTTGTCAAGTGAAATTATCTTAAATCTAGTGAACGTATGTAATATTTTTCGTTTTGCGATAGGTGTTTGCTTATTCCAAGATTATCTCGCTTATTTCTAGACACCTTTCACTTGTGTTGAGCAATTTTATTAAGTAAAATTATTTCATTATACTGGCAGATAATTTTGCTGGTTTCAAGCACATTTATCTGCCAATATGGTGCAATAATTTGACTTAATAAAATGACTTAAAGGTATAAAATGTCTAGAAATAAGGTACAAATCTTATATTACGCTTATACCAATCTCAGCAGGACAAATATTAGATTTATTGACTGTATTTAAGATAATGTTACTTGACGAGATACCATTACTCAAATGACTCTGAATGACTCTGTTTACATCTTTTGTTGATTATGCCTGAACATTTATGCAAGTGTAGAAATCACCAATGTAATGAAAGTGTAAAGCTAGTTTAATTACCTTTTTTCTTTTCTAATCTGTTTCTCCACTAATATTAAACGAGGGTGAAGCCATGGTTGACTAAATCAGTAGAACACAGTAAGTTGCACCTCTATTAGAATATAAAGACACAAAAACTTTAAAGTTTATATAAATAATCGCCATTATAAAAGCTTAAACTACCTTACAGCACAGTATGATTTTTACACTCTGTCTGTTGCCATGACGAGTATTCTCCCGGTCGTTAACTGTTTGTGTGTGTGTGTGTGTGTGTGTGTATATATTATATGTGTATATATGAATATTGTAAATGATGTTTTTAAGTGTATCTCATTGTTTGGTTGTTGGGGATTGATTGACAGTTTCTGTTAAACTGATCTAACGTGAAAATAATATTCACTTCTTTTTCTCTCTTGGGCAATTCCGATTGGCTGGGAATGTCGTCTTGAGCCAATCAGTGATGAGTGTGGAAAGGAAAACAGCCCGACTCCTCTCAGCTGGGATACGCCCGACCTGCCGTATGCAAATTAGACACAAATAACGAAATGGGATGAGGCCGATTCATTTCAGTGCCACCATTTAGGGCACAGAATTGAATGCATTAGTTCGAAACTGAGCTGATTATCAGTGAATTTGAGCTGTGGAGCTCATCACTGGAGTGGAACTGTATTATTATTATTGATGAGAGTGATAATCACTGCAGATTGACTCAGTTTGGCAGGGTGGTCTCGGTGCTGTAGAGGAGTTTGGGGCACTGCGACTCTTTTTGCATATCACTGTTTAATCCAGATCTTTGTATTACTCGTCTTTTTGACATTAAAACCAATAAACGGAGAGAATGTTTCTGCTGGGGACTCTTTCGGTAGGTCGTACAGTAATTAAAGCGCTGAAGGTCAATGGGGCAGAAAAATAAAATGGCTGTGATCTGTTTGCTGGCAATTAATGAATAAATGTTTCATACTGCGTACGAATGCTGTGTTATTATTTACTGTTCCTTTTACACAAAGCCAAGCGTGACTTTGACCTCATTTTCTCAGGAAACTTTGGCACAAACTTTGGCACGTTATGATCCCACCCCCTTCTGCTGTTGGGTAATCTGCCCTGGGGTGTTTGACCTCTAGGGGACAGTGTTGTGCTGAGATGATAGTCTGAATTGATCTGGCCAAATCTTGTTAATTTCTTCCAGATTCCCAAATGTGAAGTAATTCCAAGCATTCTTTATTTATCTGCATTCAGGACAGGCCCTAAGTTTGTTACGTTCTGGCTCGTTCAAAGGACGCAACATAAAGAAGGGAGACCACAAACATCCACTTATTATTTGAGGATAAGGAAAAGCTCTAGGGGAAGCCTGGAATTACTTAACGTATGGGAATCTGAGGGGATCCGTGTTTGGAAAACCTGGAAGGGAGTTACGATAAGTGAGAAGAGAATGGGCAAAGAGTATCGTTGTCTGTCAGCAAGGGCTGGGGGAACCGTCCAGTTCCCCAAATGCAGACAGTCGCCTAGTTTGACCTTAATGCTACACTGCCCTCTGGTGGTCAGACACCACCAGACAGATTTGACCGTACACAGCTTTTGGGAATAAGGGCAGTGTGTGCATCAGACTGAATTTTGAATAAAACTGATGCCCAAAATATTATTTTGGTTATTTGGCCTGAATATGAGACTCATTTCCAAACTGCCAAAAAAGTTTCTGAGTATTTTAATTGGTGACATGAGTTTGGATAAATATTAGACCCTAAACACAGTTCAGAGCATTTCAATGCTGAAAACCCCATCTATAAAATATGTGAAGTATTTTTCTCTCCAATAAACACACACATTCCATAAATAGGAGAAACTGGGCATCACTGTATCGCACTCTTTTTCCAGTTTGCGCAAAGCCGCACACGTAAGTAAAAGTGTATACGTCGAGTAGTATTTTTATTGCCCGTCAGATGGCGCTGTACACTCTAAAAAAAGATGCTTCTTCAAGGGTTCATTAGTAAAGAAAATGGTTCTATATAGAACCATGAACACACAGAGAACTCTTTGCATGGTTAAAGGGTATTTTGCATCATGACATGGTTCTATATAGCAGCCAAAAGAGTTCTTCTATAGTTACGGTGTCGAGCTTTAACTATAGAAGAACACTTTTGGTGCTATATTACAAAAAAAAAAAGATTCTACATAGAACCGTCTATAGCACATTTATGCACATTCTCCGTCAGTCTGAAGAACCCTTTAATGAACGCTTTCGTGTTCATGGTTCTACGTAGAACCATTTACTACAGAACCCCTTAAAGAACCATCTTTTTAAGAGTTTAGAGCTGAGGGTTCAAAATGCTTCTGACTGCTTCCAGCTCCTCTTCTGCTCATCCTTATTTCAGTACTTCATAGCAACAAAAACACCATTCAGAAACTGGTTTATATTCAGTGTTTTATTAAATACACTTCCATCAATAGACTCTCTGTTAACTACAACTACATAAATATAGAAATCACATAAAGGCACTTCATCTGATCACATGCTTTAATGGCAAGTTCACATTCATCACATCCAATTCAGGGCCGGAAATCTCCAAAAACAAATCTTTGTTCTGGCACTAAAAGTGTTAAAAAATCTGTGGTTTAAAAAAATCTTGGCTTTATTGAATCTTCAAATAAAATAAACAGAAGAAACTGTAAATAAAGGGTTTGTAAAGGCACAATATTACATTCAGTAACCCAAATATCAAAATGTAAATAAAGGACTTTTTTCATTTCGTTTAAATCAAATGGTACAGTACATCTCAATACAACACAAATAAACAATCTTTCAGCTCAGGTTCCAGCCAAATGCACAGCTAATCTATCAAAGGTCAGGAATCTTTGGCCCAGCAGTGGAGATAAAAGTGAGGTGTGCACATAGACAACGTAAGAAAACAGCCTGTATCTGAAATGCTCTTGATTTACTGGCCATATTTTTTGGTTTCCATCTGGATGTGAAAGACAAGAACTGGAGGAGTGAATAAGGAGCTCTGGCTCTGAAGAAGAGACATGAAAAAGACTTTTGGCCGACACCTCATTAAAGTAAATTAACACAAATGGCAACATTAATGAAACAGAAGCATCTTAACGAAAGAAGGTTAAGGAGTCAACGTTACGTGTTCTGAGATGGTTTGGCAGAGAAGATGTGAGTGTGAAGGTGAATGTTCTCCCTGTTGGTCATTTGTTGGGCTGTTTGTTCAGGTTTATGGACACAGTAGGGTTTCAGTGTTACATTACTATGGTGGTTCTAAATATCAGTACTCTAGGGGGCGCTAGAGGAACAATCGCTTCTGTAAATCCAGGTGTGCTCTTATTTCAAAAGCCACAATGTCGTGTGTGAGGTTTATGTTACCTAGGTGAAAAAATGAGACGAAACAGAAGGTGGGCTCACACAGCTGTTCTCTAGTAGAACCGAGAGGTTTTGCTTTCTCTTGTACGTGTGTTAGCGCCCCCTGCTGTAACACAATACTTCTCCCTTGCAAATTCTGAAGCTGTAATTGTATTTCACTAAATTAGGGATGGAACAGTGAGCACATATAATCATAAACCACAATATAAAGCCTAAAGATAATTCTATGTTTCAGTAACTAAGCAATTACCGTCTTTTTTAATATTAATATTTTAAAACGCAGTGACACATCAATGCGCAGCTCAAAGCGCCTCCCGTTTATGTATTTGTATGTTTCCAGGCTCAGTGATCCGGTATATGGAGGTATAAGTGCAGTGTAGCCTGAGTAAACGCCTGTAATCGTCTTTGGTTCGACTTCTAACTACATTAACGTTAATAAAAATGTTCTAAAAAGGCGCTTAAAGGGTCGACGTTACATAGATTTCTTCCAGTTTGGTAACAAAAAAAGATTGGAGGACGTTTGAGACTTTGATCTGAGATTCTGCTGAGAAGAAAGTGACTGTGCTCTCGAAGAGAAATATAAAATGAAAGAAGGGGAAGTCGTGGGGGCGGGGAGTCGTCTTCATCGTCCAACAACATGGTCTTCATCTCACTGTCGTTGGTCACTTCTTTGGCTGTTTGTTCTTTTTGTTGAGGATCTTCATCAGGCTCTTGGACATGTAGTACGGTTTCTCAGCACTGCCGTCGTTTCTCTCCAGATCTTCCACTGAGAGGGAAAAAAAGTGTGTTTCAGTCAAAAAGCTCAGTATTATGGAATTATGTTATTCTACTGAATTAGGAATATATGAAGATTTCCAGTCCAAAATGCTGTATATCCATTCATAACACCTGCAGATACAACACGTTTTTGAAAAGAACAGCTAATGTGCTGAATCATTATTTCTCTAATAAAGTGTTATTAATTAGAACACAGCACTGATATTTCTTCTTTGGGTAAAGTTCACAAGCCCAACAACATAAATCATGAGAAAATCATGATTTTTTGAAATGGGCTATGGAGAATAAAACTGAATAATCAAGTTGCTTCAAATTTAGTTCTGATAATTATGTATGATCATCGTCATCTCTTACACAGTTTACTCCCCGATTTAGTCGTGGTCTATTCCCCTTCTAGCTAGGTCTCCCTCTATCACTCGATGCTGCCAAAGTAGGGGGGCCCTTAAATTCTGTGCTACCTTAAATATATTGCCACCTTAATTTCAGTGCTCTTTTAAATTTACTGATAACTTAAATACACTGCCACCTTAAATACCGTAAAGCTCACTCCCAACAACAATTATAATTGAAAAAAAAAAAAATGTACTGAAATGATGTCCTCGATCATTTATTTCTCTAATAAAGTGTTAATTATAACACAGCACTGATATGTCTTGTTTGTGTAAAGCTCACTCCCAACAACATAAATTAGTAAAAAAAATATATATTTTTTTCATTTATTATGTAATAAAACTGAATAATCAAGTTGTTTCAAATTTACTTCTGATAATTATGTTATTTAGTCGCATTTTATTCCACCTGCTAGCTAGGTCTCCCTCCATCACACAACACTACCAAGCTGGGAGGGTGAAGGCCCGGCACAAGCTTACTCTGAGATCCATGTAGCTCCACCACATCTTCAATTGCTGCTAAGACAACATTATTGGAGCTCAACACACTTGGAGGAGAACACTAACTGCTAATTCTTTAACATTAGCCTGATGGGAAAAGCGACAGAAGACCATCCTATCCTGAAAGGACAATTATGATCTCTTAGGCTTTGTTCACACAGCAGGTAAACGTGTCCCAAATCTGATTTTCTCACCAAATCTGATTTTTTTGTTTGTCTGTTCAGATTATCTTTTAATTGTGATCTGTATGCAACATCAGTCTGAAAAGATCAGCTCCTAAACTGACCCACATGCACAAAAGAGCAGAGCGTCACGCTGCTTCACGGCTCATCCAGAGGTAAACAATCACGACCGCCAACGAACGCCAGTCACTCCCGGAGGATCAGCTTCATCTTCACCAGCATCACAGGAGCCATCATGAAGCTTCACTGACTGACAGCTGGGCTCATCACCCACTTCTTTGGTTCGCGTCCTCGGATTCTTTAAACTCTGCTTTCAAACCTTTTACTGTTCTTTGACGCTGCAGCCTCGTTCTCCTGCGGCCGCGTTCGGACATTTCTTTCTAAAGCTCTTCAAACACGGAGGGTTTTGGATGAGTCTCTTATGACTTTTGTACAGAAATATCAGCCCAAATTCAGTCTCAGCAGCGCAAAATTATGACGAATATAGAGTTTGATTGACGTAAAAGTCGCATGAATTCCGATCTGGCTGTTCAGACTGAGTCACATTGCCGCAGATTGGACACATATCGGATTTCAGTACCACATATGAAAGCGTCTCAAATCGAAACTGAAAATGTCAGATTCAGTGTGTTTATCTGTTCACACAGCCACACAGACACACATCTGTGTCACATCTGAAGAAAAAGATCAGATTTGTGCCACTTTTACCTGCTGAGTGAACAAAGCCTTGGACTCTCAGACACTGATGAGGTCAACGCTTAGATGGTTGCACCACTTCAGAGCCACAATAAACATCTTTTTTAAAAATTTAAATTTGACAAAAGTCAAAGTTGTGTTGCTGTCACTGTCACTGAATGAATGTAATCAGAATTAAACACTTAGTAGCATTAATTAATAGATTGAACTAGTTAGAATTAATAAATTAAAGATGGTCACTGCAGTGAAATTAACATATCAGACAATGGTTGACTGATAAAGTTTACATTGGTCAGTGTATGTGTGTGTCCAGTACTCACAGAAACAGAGGAAGAGTGTGTCCACACACATGTTGTAGACGCTGAAGAATCCGTGAGCGATCAGATACGCTCCCACCACCACCGTCTACAACAGAGGTACATTAACATCAGCTTAGTATTAATCTCACTTATAAACAAGTGCAGACAGAACTGACCACAGATTAATGATGAACAAGCCTCTCGGCCAATCACAGCCATGTCTACACATCAGTTTCTCCGCCAGGTGAAGAAAGAACTCAGAACAGTGTCCACAAACAGACTGTATATGTCTCAAACTACAGGCCTGTGAGACTCAGCCATCACATATTTACAGTTCATCCTTAAATCCAGTAATAACACCATAAATATAATAAAGACTAAATTATAGTCATATATGAAATATACGCATATTTAAACTAAACACAAAACAAATCATTTTTACAGCATACACAAAAGTGCACACTTAAAAATGATGGTTCTTTGGTAAAGACAATGGTTCTACATAGAACCATGCACACTCAAATAACCCATTGCATGATTAAAGGGTTCTTTGCATTGTGAAAGGGTTCTATTGTTATAATGTCAAGCTTGTAATAATAAAAGAACCCCTTTTGGCGCTACACAGAACACTTGTCAGAAAGGTTCTATACAGAACCGTCTACACTACATTCTCCATCAATCTGAAGAACTCTTTCACGATGCAGACAGAACCATTTTCTTTACTGAAGGACTCTTGCAGAACCATCTTTTTTAAGTGTGTAGCTCAAAGCGCTATTGGTCAAATAAGAAAATGTGTTAAAGAAAAATAAGTATAAAAAACAGTCCTTTTTAAAATCCCATTAAAATGAAAAATGATATAAAACGTAATAATAATAATAATAATAATAATACCTAGAAACGTGCATTTACTGAAGAACATGTACAGTGATTGAGCAGCTTAAGCAGTTCCCGGGTGGTTGCTAGGGTGTTGCCAAATATTACTGTGATATGTGGTTGTAAAGCAATGCGCAATCACTAATAATAATAATAAAACTAAGTAATCATAGATAATAATAAAATGAAAGTAAGATATTGACTCACTATGATGGGCATCCAGTAGTAGTTTAAGGCTGAGGCCTGAAACAGCGAACCTGGAACCTGGATTTTACCAGAGAAGAAGAAGAACGCCAGCACACCTGAGCAGAGCGAGAGCGAGAGCGAGAGCGAGAGCGAGAGAGAGAGAGAGAGAGAGAGAGAGAGAGAGAGAGGAGAAGACACTGAGCCTCGTGTTGGTGAGAGCTGAGTAGTTTACAGGTAAACAGAACCCTTTAGCACTGTCCTTATTATACACGTGTTTGTGTTGCAACAATGCAGAAAATTCACCTGCACATTAAAACAAACCTCATTATATTCATAAGAAAGGAATTAATTCAAGTACACATCTATAAAATCCCACAGTGCTGTTTAAAGTCCCTAATGAGCATCTTGTGTAGCTGCTTCTCATCTACAATACTATACAAAAGGCAGAGACCACTCATTTATTTCTGAGGAGATCAGGAACATAGAACATAATACACCTACACAAAGACGGAGACAATAAGTGAAGAAAAAAAGAAACGGGTTTCCAAAACTGCAGTTCAACTACTGATGAAAAGCTCAAGAGAAAATGTGGCTCCTAACAACCACCTGGAAGAGCTGGTAGACCCCAAAACTGCCCCCATCAGATAAACAGCACTTAAAGCTTTCATCTCTGAGAGAGAGGAGAAAATCAAGCTGCTCCAGATCTGAAAACATCCACAGGTGTTTCTGTCCATCCTTCCACTGTGAGAAGACGACTCAGCGCTGTGGGTCTGAAAGGATGTGTAGCTGTCAAGAAGAACCTCACTGAGAAAAGGAGACGGACACATCGAACAAAGAAGCTGAACGATGGACTGACCACCCCAGAGTCCAGACCTCAACAGCACTGAATGTGTTTGATTACTTCAGAAAATGATCAACCAGCTTCTAAGACTGAACTTTGGAGGTGTGTCTGCAGATTCTTTGAGGAACTGAAAGTGAGGCTCCTGAAAAGAATGGAAGCTGGAATAAAGGTGAAGAGTGACTCACTGACACTCAGACAGCTGATATATGTGGCTGTTCAGGTTAATTTTTTGTGAATTGTATGTTTTCTGTTCTCCTCCTGAAGCTGAAGAATGAATAACTTGTACTTAATGGCTGTTCTGACTGGAAAGTGAGTAAATGAGAGTGATCTCTGACTCCTGCACTGTACAGTTTCTTTGCTGCTGTAAGTCTGCAGTTTCCTCTGCGCTGAGTAAAGGGTTTGTTTCTGTCTGTCTGTCTAATGTTAGAATGTCAGTATGGTGTAGACTGGACTGTACTGCTCTAATCCTGATAGATATTACCATGGTAACAGTGATGTTAGCTGTGTCCCAATTCAGGGGCTGCATCCTTCGGACTGCGTCACAGCGGCGCGACTAGACTGTCTCATTTCTAAGGCTCCTTCATATGCGGCTGAGAAATGTGTCCTTCTTTTCCATGGCAACAAAGAATCCAACGGGTGGATCCTTCGCCAACCAACATATCTCAAGGTTTGTAGACCGCATCCTTTGAAGGATGCAGCCCCTGAATTGGGACACAGCTTGTATAGATGGTGTTTGTCTTACCGATTCCGCCGACCACCAGCAGCTTCCCAAAGAACAGCAGCAGATCTGTTACTTTATCTAGAACCACCACCCTGAATACAACAAACACAGCACAGTCAGATCAGCTCACAGAACCAAACTGAGCTCTCAGCTCTGCTCCAGATCAAAAGATGCTCCTGTTTTCTCTAATCTAGACTATTATAGTGCAACTTTCACTGGATACCCAAAATATAAAGACTTAAATCTCTGAAATTAGACTTTAAAGTTCTTAAAAAGAAGTTATTTTTCTTGTATTATGCAAATTATCCGTGAAACAGCTTTGCACATCACAGACTGGCAAAAACATCTTCAATAAACACTTTAACAAGTATGTATTACCTGACTTGTTTCCTTTATTGTTTACATTTCTCTGTTTTGCACAGTTCCTTGTCCTTTCATATAATCTATTTCCTTAAAGTGCTATCTACACAGTTCTGAATTTTATTACTGTAATTATCATAAAGCTCACCTCAGAATGTTCCTCATGAGCAGCAGGAAGGCGTTTTTGGCTGAGACGCAGAAGTTTTTCCCGTATATTGCGATCTAAGAAAGAGCAAAGACACAGAGGAGCAGTCAGAGACTGACAGCCCTTTAAAAAGTCTTTACGTTCTCGATATTTAAAATTAACATACAGGATCTAAATTTCTAATGCTAATTTTGTTAAAACTTTATTATGGACATCAATTTTATTAGAACTTCGTTCTGGACATTCAGTGTAGCTCAATTTCGTTCTGGACGTTAAATTTTTCGATTCTGAACTCGTTGATGCTGAAACTCACCATGATGTAGGCGTTTCTGTTGAGGAACTTGATGAACTTCTCCAGACACCAGAAACAGCACTTCAGACAACACATCAGGAACCGAGCACAGGGGTTCTGAGCAGCTGGAGAACCAAACACATACAGTCATACAAAGTAGCACAACACCGTCAACAATCAGCAGCATTAAAACTGATATTACAGTCATCTTTCATATCAGCAATAAACAGAAACCTCAGTTTCAGGTAACGTCAGTTAGCTGCTATACTGCATACTGTTGATCTGAAACTGGTGGCTGAACTGCATCTATATTTCAGTAGTAGAACTGACTATAACCTGTAATTCCATGTTCTAGAAAAGCTTATTCACAGTGGTGGTGATAGGAACCAGACGTCCACCTCTAAAAGCTCCCTCACAGAAAGACATGAAATGATTATGAATTCACTGCCTGATGACTGAGACACTGTTTTATGATAGTTTTGAGAAGATTTTAATCTAAAACGTATTTTTAAATTCATTCATGGTGGAGGGATACATGCAAGGTGTTGTGAGGCAAAATAGCCCCTAAAGAAAACGAATTATTTCAGATTTTCCACTATTTTCCACCATCAACATTCCATATAAACTCAGAAGACTCGTGTAGGTTCACTGGTGGTTCTGGATAGTAAATAAAATGTCTATATTTGTGTTGTAGTCATGGCGACCCCTGGTTCCTATCACCACCACTGTAAAGACATCTGAACCATTTCACACCAAACCACTCTGAATCACTCTGATTACATCTCAAAACAAAAATCTCCCCTTTCAGAGGTCACAGATTTACACCTGTACTCTACACAGCATTTCATCTTCAATGTGATGTGCTCTGTACCTCTGCACTTGTGGTCGATGTATTCAAGAATGATGCGGACCAGCTGGATAATAGTCAGAATTAGAGCACCAAACGCCAGAGAACCCACATGATACCTAAGAGAAGAAGAGAAAGTTCATTATAAGCAGAAAACACAGCTGTAAAACCAAACTGTAACATGTACTGACTGTTAACAGAAACCCCTTAATGTACAAGGTAGTTGTTTCTAATAAAGCGGCCAGTTAGTGGAAGTACAAGGTAGGTGTTTCTAATAAAGCGGCCAGCGAGAGGAAGTACAAGGTAGGTGTTTCTAATAAAGCGGCCAGCAAGTGGAAGTAAAAGTTAGGTGTTTCTAATAAAGTGGCCAGCAAGTGGAAGTACAAGGCAGGTGTTTCTAATAAAGCGGCCAGCGAGTGGAAGTACAAGGTAGGTGTTTCTAATAAAGCGGCCAGCGAGTGGAAGTACGAGGTACAAGGTAGGTGTTTCCCTCTGACTCTGACTGGTCTAAATCACTGCGTTGTTTGTTCTTAGACCTCCCCCTGACTGTGATTGGACCAAATCTCTGCATTAATTATTGAGACCTCTCCCTGACCGCGTCTGATTCTAATCACTGCCTCATTTGTTCCGAGACCTCCTTCTGACTCTGATTGGTCCACTGCACAAAGTGGGCTCCTAGCAATGCTAAGACATACTAGTTCTTTTTAAGCTTAGTTTCTGATGGTATTCATGGGTTTCAGAATCAGTCATTACTCCTCTGGTACACAGCATCCCCAGGTCTGGGGCTGGAACCACAGTGCTTATGATCTTTAGCCTTACCGCAGTGCTCTCATGAAGGAGGAGACCAGAGGGCATGCTGGGATATCTGCAGGTTTGTGGAAGGCCCAGTAGTAGGAGGCGAAGGCTCCGGCCAGCGTGCAGTGACCCAGAGCGATGACGAAGTTCACACACCAGAGGAAGGCGATCACGTTATAAATCTGCAGGTTAAAGATGTTCCTCTGGAACAGGCCTTCAGTGTTGTACTTTATGAACACACAGCGAGCCGAGGGGCAGGTGGGGTACAGGGTACCGTTGAAGGCCTGGGAGGAGAAAAGAACAGATGTTAGAACACAGTGATCCTTCTGTAGAACTGTTTGCAGTTTTTCAGTGGGAGTTTGTCTCTCTGACCTCGTTTACACCTGGTTATTTTATGCGTCTTGAGTATCAGGATTACATCTGGATGAGGCCACATAAAAATGCCAGTGTAAATGGACCCAAGACACATTTAAAACACAGATCTGATCACTCAAACCACTTCAGGAGGTGGACTGAGACGCATTTGAGCCACATGTTATAGCAGCGTAAATTAATCCATCTCTAAGACACATTCGACAACCACAACTCCTCCCTGTCCAATCAAAACTCCTCCCCGTCCAACCGAAACTCCTCCCCGTGCAGTATGCCACTGGCATGTGGTCCATGTCTACGAGAAAGATAATCATGGAGGATGCACGAGGAATATTTCACTACAAACCAGCCGCTGAATTGAAACTGTAAAGAGAGTGTTTTTGACGTCTGGATCAACATTATAAACATTATAAACATGATATCGGCTCTTATCTGCCTGTGTTTTACTCGCAGCTGCTCTCTCTCCGCTCCCCTGTTCAGGTGGTGTTCATGCACGTCTCTTCACCACCAGTGGACGGTTCCTCCACTCTTCTAGCTCTCTGATTGGCTGTTTGAATCACTCGAGTAAATCTCTGACCTTCTCACACTGCAGGACTCGCCAACGTTTTGAGTCATAAATATCAAACGTATTTGATAATATCGAAGGGTCTCCGATCACTTTGATCAGAAAGCTAAAGATTCACTCGTTACTCCTCTCACACTACAGATCATCCGGACCGTCAGTCACTTCCAGTCAAGTTTCTGACCTGGAAAATTGCTTCAGATTATGAAAATTTGTCACAAGGGGCACGCTGGGCTTAAAATCGGGCAAAAAATCATGTCGTGTAGGCCGAGCCTAACCGGAGATGCACTTGACTACCAAGTGTAAATTCATGTGGTTAAAATCTTATCAGGATACAATCCAGATCCTGGACACATGAAGTAACCAGGTGTCTTTGTTGCGATTAAGATTGAAGTGAGTGAACACAGTATGTAAAGTATTGTAAAATACAAGTATAACACAGTTGAGTGGCAACAGTTCTCGAGAAATCCCACATTCTTTAGATCAGGGTGCTCAGCTATGCTTGCTGGGTTAGTTTTTGCTCTTTGTTAGCAGTTTCATTAAAGCTGTGTGGACCGGAGAACCCACAGCTGCCGTGTGATTGGTGAGGATACTGCTTATGTACGTGTCACCAAAGTTCATGTTGAGAGAGGAGGATGTTGGCAAAGTACATCAGCCATTTATTGAACAATGTAAAGTTATTGACAGGATAATCTTCCCAAAAGAGCAGGATTAACATACTGATGGATTTAGGTTCCAGAGACTTTAATGAGTTTTCTATGGAATATTTATAGATGTGTGCCTTATTTCTCACCAGTGGGTCGCAGGTCTGGTTGCCGGCGATGCTGCTGCAGTCTCCCTGAGACGTGTTCAGAGCCACAACGTTGTACACTGGAGCTCCAGATGTGGCCAGATATCTACACACATTGCGTTAAGGAGAGAGGCTACGACATACTGATGAAACACTAGAGGTCTGCTAACCAACAGATTTTGGGATGTTTCATGTTCAGTACTGTGCAAAAGTCCAGATCCACCCTTCATTTGTTTAATTTCCACTTTTTTAGCATCATGATAAAAAGCAGAAAACACTCAATCTAATCTCAGCTGCAGTGTGTTACTCTTTACCTTTATTCCAGCCTCCATTCTTTCCAGGAGACTCACTTTCAGTTCCTCAAAGAATCTGCAGACACACCTCCAAAGTTCAGTCTTAGAATTTGGTTGATCATTTTCCGAAGTAATGAAACACATTCAGTGGTGTTGAGGTCTGGACTCTGGGGTGGTCAGTCCATCGTTCAGCTTCTTTGTTTGATGTGTCCGTCTCCTTTTCTCAGTGAGGTTCTTCTTGACAGCTACACATCCTTTCAGACCCACAGCGCTGAGTCGTCTTCTCACAGTGGAAGGATGGACAGAAACACCTGTGGATGTTTTCAGATCTGAAGCAGCTTGATTTTCTCCTCTCTTTCAAAGATGAAAGCTTTAAGTGCTGTTTATCTGATGGGGGCAGTTTTGGGGTCGACCAGCTCTTCCAGGTGGTTTGATAGGAGGAACATTTTCTCTGTAGCTTTTATCAGTTTTTGACCTCCAGTTTGGGACATTTCTTTTCCTTAGACTTAGCAGACACTAACAAGAAACAGTGTTGGCTTCAGAGCTCTTCATTGCACCAGCTAAGTCAGTGCCATGGCAGCAAAAGCTCTCAGATCAGCGTGTACAGCTTTAGTTCATTTTTCTGACGATCATCTCAAGCTCTTAGTAACAAAGAAAAACGACGTAAAACCATGTCTGTGGAAATTAATCTCTGTTTGTGCATACCAGCAGGTCCAGGTCAGGTCCCAAAGTCATGGGTATGTACAGAGTTCGGGTTTCAAATGTTGCAGAACCAGTCAGGCCTAGTCGGGTCTCAAAGTCAAGAGGTTCAGGTGTCACATTTAGCAGTACTAGCTGGACCTGGTCAGCTTAGGTCTAAAAGTCCCAGGTATGGGTTGGATTCAGGTTTCAAATTTAGCAGTACCAGTCTAGCCTGATTGGGTCAGGTCTCAAAGCCTCGGGTAAGAGTTGGGTTTCAACTTCAGAATTGGAGAACCTTTACCTATTATCCAGTGCTTTAAAGCAAGGAGATATTTTGAGCTGGTTATCAGTTCATTAGTTTATATTGTTGGTCATAATTCAGCCTCTTATCAAACACACACACAGGCAGAAAGGATACAGGGCAGTGATTCCCCAATAGCAAACACACACAAGGAGCATCACAAAGGTCACGATTGGATAACACAGCGTTGACATCATGTAGCCCACCGCCCTACACAAACGAGGATAACACAATCAATATAATGGAAAATCAAGAAAATTACACAACAGTGTGTATATGAATGTGTTTGTGTGTACATACTTGCTGGACTCCTGAATGAGGGCGATCGCTATGAGGATTCTGGTCCTCAGGAAAATCAGAACCAACAACAAAACTCCTTCAACCACACTCAGAATGATCACTGATGGAGAGAGAGAGAGATAAAGAGAGAAAGATGAGTCATTAGTCTTGATTAAAAACAGAACATAACCCATTGTGTGCATTACTCTTAATGTCTCAGCTCCACACTATTACACTAAATGCCCAATGGTATCTTCTATTTAGTGGACTCAGCTTCTGGAGAGGCACTCCTCTCACTGAGGACACAATCTTTACAATGCTCACCTGTGTGCAATTCCCAAAGTAAAGCTATGGCAGCAGTCATGCACAAACCTTGAATCATTGTGAGCAGCGTCAACCGTGAGACAGCAGGGTGTAAAACTCCCCATCTTTGGACTGTGGTGCTTTTGGGATATGCAGGAGTGATGAAGCTCTACTGGACAGCTCTGGAATGAGTTGAAGTGATGAAGCTTCAAAGAACAACTCTGGGATAAGTTTGAAAGGTGAAGATCCATCGAACTGCTTTGGGGTGAGTTGAAGTGACCAGGTTCCAATGAACACTATTGGGATGAGTTGAAGTGATGAAAGTCTACAAGCAACGTTTGGATAAATCAGATTGATGAAGCTCCACCGAACACCTTTGGATAAGTTGAAATAAAGAAGCTCTATGAACACCTTTGGGAAGATTCAGATGAAGCACTTTTGGGATGAGTGGGAGTGATAAAGCTCCATTGAACACCTTTTGCATGAGATGAAGAGATGAAGATCGCTTGAACCCCTTCATTAAGCACTGGAAGGAAGAAGCTTGGTTGAGCACCTTTTAAATGAGTTGGAGCCTTCTAAGATGAAGCTTCTAAGAAGTTGGATGAAGCCAGATAAAGTTGGATGAAGCCGGATAAAGCCGGATAAAGTTGGATGAAGCCGGATATAGTTGGATGATGAAGCTGGATAAAGTTGGATGAAGCCGGATAAAGTTGGATGAAGCTGGATAAAGCCGGATATAGTTGGATGATGAAGCCGATTAAGTTGGATGAAGCCGGATGAAGCCGGATAAAGTTGGATGAAGCCGGATATAGTTGGATGATGAAGCCAGATAAAGTTGGATGAAGCCAGATAAAATTGGATGAAGCTGGATGAAGCTGGATAAAGTTGGATGAAGCCAGATGAAGCCAGATGAAGCCGGACTACCTTCACTGGCATTTGTGCACCAGAAGTGATCATCCAACATCAGTACCTGGCCTCACTAATGCTCAATCAAATCCTGTTCAACATCTAGTGTAAAGCCTTCCCAGAAGAGTAGAGGCTGTTACTGCAGTACAGGCTTATCCTTATCAATACCCTTCATTTCAGAAGAAACACTGGAGGTGCAGGTGAACACAGACCTCAGGACGTATACTGTAGATGTGTAGGTATGTAAATTATTTTTATGGGTTTTTATGTTTTTACTGTATTATCAGTGAGACTTTATAGAATTTATTTAGTTTAAGATTTTAAGATTTAGGTCTAAGAAAGTGTATATGAATAAAACTCACAGAAGGCCAGCCAGGTGTCCCTGATCTGCAGGTAAACATTGACGTTGGTGGTGAAGCCAACGTTATTGTAGGTCAGAGTGGAGTTGGCCAGCAACATGTACTCATTATAACAGTACCAAATACCTGGGAGAGAAAGAGAGAGAGCTTCTAATTTATGCGCATACAAAGTTCACATTAATTTTTTCAGTACTACATTTCTATATTTATACTAAATATTTATAACACATTTTAAAATGTAACTTTAACTGTCTGCCAGCTAATCTGTCCACTCAACCTGCACACACTGACGTGATTAACCAGCACAACTCTTCAGTTAGAACTGGACAGTCTCAGCCTGTTATGGAAGACTTAATGAATACCCACTATTCATACCTGTGACTTTATATTTTATAGACATTAAGATTTGACACATTCACCATTATCACCACAGAAAGCGATAACAGAGTCAGTGTCCCATCCTCTCAGTCACATGACTACTGTACACTACTGTACACAGAAAGATCCAGCTTCAGACACACACACTTACCGAACGCTCCCACCGCCAGAACCCCAATAATCAGAACCCACACTAGGATACCCGCCAAGAACCGCAACAGCAGGAGGAACAGCAGACTGGCCAACATAGCAATCACCAACCCACTGAGAGAGAGAGAGAGAGAGAGAGAGAGAGAGAGAGAGAGAGAGAGAGAGAGAGAGAGGGAGAGAGACACAGAGTGAGAGAGAGAGAGAATACAATAATGTTATTTATTTGTAATAAAATTTAGATCCAGAATAAAGTTCTAATAAAATTGGTATTTAGAATTCATCATATTTCAAAAGTGGAGATAACTGGACATGGATTACTGTAAATAAATCCTTTATGATGTCTTGTTTATATTATGCCGGGCTGTCCATACATGTTATTACTGAAGAATGTAACAATAATTATTAACATTTATATTAACAATGATTAATAAAGTGATTTTAAAGTTTGAACTGTTAATATCTGCTCTGTTAAAGCAGATGCAAAACATTGTGATGACAGAAATGTCGTTAAAGGGGCCACAAGGGGGCGACATGTTATTTCAAACTCACAGTACGATCCACTGCCACGTCGAGGCGAAGTCAGCAAAGATCCTCACACCTACATCTCTCGCGTTAAAGCCATTCAGCACATCACTGAGAGAGAGAGAGAGAGAGAGAGAGAGAGAGAGAGAGAGAGAGAGAGAGAGAGAGAGAGAGAGAGAGTGTATTGTAGTGATAGTGTAATTAGCATGATGGTTATCAACACCAAACCCCAGAGAACAGACTCTTGCGCTACTAAGCGACTGTAAACAGTGAGTGAGCTGAGGACGCCGGAGGGAAGAGGAGCAGGGTTAGTTTAAATACAGACAGACTGTCTAAAACAACACTACAGCACTACAAGCAGTCAGGACCAGCAGTGTGTGTGGGGGGGGGCACTCATTCTAAAGGTCATCTGACTGAGGAGACCCCCATCCATCTAGAGACCACAGACAGAAACAGGGAGAGCAGAGGATGCTAATAACAGACTAATGACCAATGAGAGAGTGGAGCAGTTCTCAATTCCAGCTGAACAAATAAACCCTCCTTCACTTCTCCTGCTCACTTCCACCTGCAGCAATCCAGTATACGCAACACAACCTTCCATCTCGTCATTTTAAAAACAACAGCTGCTTTTTACACTGTGTAGAAATTTCATGACGGATGGACCAAAAGGAATGGACTGAAATGAACGAATGCATCCGAACAGTAAAATGAAACCTCTACTTCTTTCCTATCTGGTTTTTCCTGATCTGTAGCCCATGATGTCACTAAGTATAGTCACTCAGTGCATTTACATGCACTCGATAATCCGATCATGATCAGATTTCTGCAGTTATCTGATTATTCGATCTCAGGGTCAACCTCAATGTACTTTAAATAAAGGTTGATTGATTAACTGATGCTAACATTAGGCTACATTACTACTCTTATCATGTAGTTTTGCTTTATGTTGCATTGCACAACTTCTCTGACAGGCTAGATTTCTTACAGAATCAGGTTATATTTCAGCTTTTTTTCCTAAAACATCCAATATTTTCTGCTGGTATCGGCCCAATAAAGCTGATGATCATCTGTCTGCATGGTGGATTAGCTGAGTGGAAGGGAGCAGGGAAGTGTTCAGGGTTTTGTTTTAATTTGGTTTGGAATTGAGCTTTGTGGAGAAAAATAAGTGAGGGGAATGAAAGCGAGAGATCAGAGGAACTACAGACACACTCTAAATCCTACACATGAACACACTGATCACTCACGCTGACAACACTCCTGCACTGCCAACAAAAGAGAAACACGTTATTATGGCACGGTGGGGGTCGGGGGGTGTGAACATGAGCACAGAAAGCTGAATGTTAAATTTAGGGTGTTAATCCAGAAAAATACCAAAAAAGGTGCCACAGAAGGTTCTTTGAATGATGCCACAGAAGAACTCTTTGCTTCCTTAAAGAACCCCTCAACAATTACCTTCACTTTGTTGTCCCTTAAGCCATTTTGCAACATCTTTGGAACTACTGCTGGGGTCACTGTCCATTTGGAAAACCCATTTGTGCCCAAGCCTTAACTTCCTGGCCAAGGTCTTCAGACGAGGCTTCAATATCTCCCCATGATTTCCATCTAAATGCCATCTATTTTGTGAAGTGCACCATTTCTCCCTGCAGTGTAGCGCTCCCACATCATGATGCTGCCGCCGCCATGCTTCACAGCTGGGATAGTCTTCTTTGGCTCGCAAGCCTCCCCCTTTTTCCTCCATACATAACGATGGTCATTATGGCCAAACAGTTCAATTTTTGCTTCATCAGACCAGACGACATTTCTCCTGAAAGTAAGATCTTTGTCCTCATCTCCAGTTGCAAACTAAAACTTGTTTTTTATGGCAGTGGATTCTTTCTAGCTGAGCAGGCTTTCAGGTCATATTGATATAGGATACGTTTTACTGTTGATATCGATACTTTCGTACCCGTTTCCTCCAGCATCTTTACAAAGTTCTGTTGTTCTTGGATTGATTTGTATTTTTCTAAGTACCTTCATCTCTAGGAGACAGAACGTGTCTCTTTCCTGAACAGTGTGATGGCTGTGTGGTCCCATGGTGATAATCGTTTGAACACATTAACGTGGTACTTGGAAATTGCTCCCAAGAATGTACCAGATTGTGGAGGTCCACAATTGTTTCTGATTTCTTTTGATTTTAGCATGTTGTCAAGCAGAGAGGCAAGTAGGCCTTGAAGGTAGGCCTTAAAATACTGCCACATATACATCTACTGTTAACTTGAATGATGTCAATTAGCCCATCAGAAGCACGTGAAAGCCATGATGTCGTTATCTGGAATTTTCCAAGCTATTTAAAGGCAGACTCAACTTGGTATATGTTAACTTATAACCCACTGGAATTCTCATATAGTGAATTATAAGTGAAATAATATGTCTGTAAACATGTAAAGATTTCCTAAACAACTTGCTAAAACAATTGTTTGTTGGTATGGAATCTGTAGAGGGGATGACAAATATCGCTGCATTCAGAAAACCATGTATCTTCATTTTTGACAATTTCACACTGTCCTTTACATTGTGTGAAAATTTCATGATGAATGGACCAATAGAAATGCTCTAAAATCTCTTTAAATTGATTAATGTTGAAAGGTAAGAGTGTTTTTCCCTTCTCCTGTAAAGCTACTATTCCTTGTTTTTCTTTGGACAGTGACGATATGAGTTTAAGTGACTTCAACCTAAGTGTATGTAAACTTTTGACTTCAACTGTAGATCACCTGGGGGTCCCTGAGGACTAGTTTAAGAACCACTGTCCTATGACGTCACTCAAAGAATCCTTTTTGGCACCTTTATTTTTGAGAGGGTACAACAGTTCAAACCATGGATCTCCAAGCGTCTTTGAAAATGATATAAATAAAAAAATAAAAAAAAAATCACAATTTGTCCATAAATTTGACATCTTACAAGAAAAATCACCTTCCAGGAATAGCCCAAAAACCCACATTTTTTGGTTTTAAAATCATCTTGGAAAATGTATCATTCTCACAGCAGAGGCGGCACAATTTCATAATTTCTTTTCCAGTACCGATATTGAAACCTTGAGCATCAGCTGATACGTATCCAATAATTCTTCTTTAAAAATGAATAAGGTTTACCATCAGCTATTTTCAATTAAAACACTTCACTTAAGATGAGCATCTAAAAGTAGTCTCCCCCTCTGATATCACATCCAGCATCTACTTATATCGACCCGATACTGATATCCCATTTCAACTCTTAAGAAGCAGCAGCTGGATGTAAGGAGATTAGTCAGTCAATCTCTAGTAAAAGCTGCAACTTTAATTAGTGCCATGCCGCAAGCCATGAAAATATCCAAGTTCTTTAACCTACAGAAATCAGAGTGACAATAGTTCCCTCATTAACTATCACCTTACTTTTATTAAAATTAGAATGGATGCCCTTCATTAAATTACACTAAAATGGTTGTTCAGCTACTTGGAGAGCAACTTGCATAGGCTGTTATATGCCTTGCATTGAACCATAATATGCTGTGGTGTACCACAAGGTTCAATTCTTGGATCTTTGCAGTTTCCAGTCTATTTTACTGATTGTTACCTTTGCATGATTTTTTCTTATATAATCTGTGGATGATACTGATAAGTAGGCATGTCAATTCAATTTTCTTACATCTATTGCAAAAGTTCTAACAGAAATGATGTCACTCAGGAATCAGCAGCCACTGATGTGTCCACAACGATGAAGAGGTGTGAATATATGTTTGGGTGTGAGAACAATTTAAGAACTATTGGAGGACACTGACTGGCTGAGAGTATATGTGAAGGTTTTGTCGTTTTACCTTGTGGAGTTCTTGAGCATGTTCACAGTCTGATTCATAGTCAGGCCGGGAAGTGTGAAGTTAGACGGAATGTTATCGTATGACGACGTTCCTAAACTTGGCAAACATCTTCCCAAAACTACAGACAAAAAGAGAAAAAGAAAGTATTTTCCTCCAGTGCTTCACCTCAACTGTTATGTTCTTGAAAAATGAATGATACTTAAAAGAAAGAAAAATAAAAAACAAACAAACAGAGCACCTGAGGTAGTAGGGGTGTAGAAGTATGGACAATACTCCTTCGCAATGATCTCTGAAGCTGTCTGTGAAAGAAAGGTGATTAATGGGTGAATGCATAAAAAAATAAAATCAACTAATGAACAAATAATAAAGAAAAATATGATGGACTTCTGCACGCAGAGAAACATTGAGATACTTACAAGTTTGGTTGTGCTGAGGTCGAGCCAGGGAACACAAAGATCCTGATTAAAATACTGGGATAAATCTGCATGTGGTTGATACGCTATAGGATTCAGGACCCAGAAGTTTGATGGACATGACTTTACACAGATCTACAGCAAAGAGAGGAGAACAAAACAGACAAGTGATATAAACTGAGTCTGTTCTACAGTTTCTCATTAGGCTGAATGAATAACCGACTCTAAATGTAGGTATTGTGATATAAACTCAGTCTGTTCTACAGTTTCTCATTAGGCTGAATGAATAACCGGCTCTAAATGTAGGTATTGTGATATAAACTCAGTCTGTTCTACAGTTTCTCATTAGGCTGAATGAATAACTGACTCTAAATGTAGGTATCGTGATACATTGTGAATTACCTGAGTGGTGGGACACTGCAGACCCTGCAGCGCTGCAGCCATGATGTTGGTAGCAGTGGCACATTGGAGAATATTAAAATAAAAAACATTTGGCTTATCGCTGAAAGAGAGAGAGAGAGGGAGAGAGAGAGGGAGAGAGAGAGAGAGATAACGTTCATTCAGTATATGTATATAGTGTATATGCATATAATGTATACTCAGCGTGCTGTTCTTACTGGTTGGGTGAGACTCCACAGTACATGCCGGTGGAGTTTCGGGGGTACAGCACATGGCGGGGGTCTCCATACAGCCACGCTGAAACACCCACACAGTTATTAGTTTAGTACTTAGTCTTCAGTACTTAAAAACTTCAGCACAGAATGTAAAATGTTGAATACAAATCATTGCATTTAATATCTCATAGCTTTTAATAGATTTTTTCAAATGTGGCACTATTTTGTCCGATCCAACCGATCAGACGTCAGAAAAAATAAATATAGCCACATATAGTGTACTGTGAAAATTTAATGTTATGTTTTAATACATCGCCCAGCTCTAATAAACATTTTTTTTTATTATTTGTTCTCTGGGATTTAAAAAATGTTCTGGAAGATGGTCAGAGGGTTTCACCAGTGGACACACTGAGTGGACTGCAAACAAATATGATAGGAAAACCATAAGAACATTTTTTCCTCCATTGTGCTGCTCACATTAACAGGAAACTGTTACTGTGACATTCATGTCCTCCAGATAAGGAGCCTCATAAATAGTGGCCTCTTCTTCTTTAACCAAATCAGCATCTCTATTTCACACACTGAACCCAAAACTGACCACGGAGGTCATTAAAGCGCCAGTCTGGCAAAAAGTCTAATTTTTCAAACCTCTCCTCTCCACCTCAAACGTAGCCAAGACCTGTTTGGTGTCTTAAGTTTGCTTCTTTAGTTTTAGCACTGGAGCTACGAGGCTAATGTAGCTAACAAGCAACAAAAGCTTATACCCCACAAATTAGCATGGTGCTAACTGCTGCCCGAAGCCTCAGACTGTGTGGAGTTGTTCAGTAATGTTTAATAGACTTGATTATGTGGTTTCTGACACTGTATGACTCACTGTTACCTATACAAATAAATAAAAAATAGCCAAAAATGGTAGCGTCACTGAATGTCTGCTGTAATTTGTAATTTTTGGGATAGCAGAAAATGGGAAATTGTATTTAAAAGATCCATTTGAGCCATTAATTTAGGCGACCAAACTCCTGTTATCTGTAGCAGATGCTATGTGAGATTCCAAATGGCCCTTTGGGCGGGAATGTAATGCTACATTCCTACTAAAACTGTATTGAATTGGTGCTAATATGCTAAACGTCCATCCAGGAACGTCAATTTTGGCACATTCTTTTGAAACATAACCTAAAATCCCACAGCAACATTGAACACAGCATTGGGTTTATATAAACAAGATTTTAGGCTTTACTGAAGGAAAAAGCACAGCATATGACAGTAACATACTATTTGCATCCAATAGTGACGCTAGCAGAAATTAGCATTATGATAGGGTGTTTTAGTTCTTGGCTTTGACATGTATGGCCTGAACAGATGTCCAGCTCTAGCAGTGACAATTCACCACTGTTAGCAGTTTGACAGACAAATGAAGCTCGAGAAGTGTGGAAATATGCAAAATAGAGAAAGTAAATCAGGCAGAAATCATGCAGGAATGACTGTTTCAGTTGGGTGTTTTAGGCTATCAGTAAAAGGTGTCTGATCGATCTGAGCCCAGTTTCCCAAAAGCATCTTTATGTTAAGAGCGCCTTAACTGGTTAGAGAGAGTGTTCACTGTGCTGCTCACTCGACCACTTAAGAACGGTTCTTGTGCTTTTGGTGAACTCGGCCCAGAGCAGGTCAAGAACCTCACATTTGGAGGATAAAACCAGAGAACTGCACTTTTCTTCTGTTTTACTACAGGAATATTCAGCACACAGCATTTAATGACCTTTATACTGAATGTATTAGAGAGAATAAGACTAAACCTAATATCAACAGACAGTGAGAGATGGTTCTTACCCAGAATTCCTACCACCATGTACCCCGTGATGACCAGCATGAAGAGCACACAGCAGATGATATCAGTGCAGCTCCTGGAGAAGAACAGTCAGATTCAGTGGGGTTTATTTCAGCACACACAGATAGACCGATACGTCCTCTCAGACATTAACACTCATAGTTTAGGCTTAAACTGTTCATAAGTTAGGCTTAATGCTCGATCAGCTACATTCCTGAATTTATCAAAAAAAGGCAAGCGAAATTGTGAAATTTAACGGTAAACGTGTGGTTTTGTGTTCTATATGTCCAGACTCTCTTTATCCTCTGGAGCAGTGGTCACCAACCCTCCTCCTGGAGATCCACCATCCTGCAGGTTTCACCTCCAACCCAAATCTAACACACTTCAATCAGCTAATCAAGGACTTCTCAAGGGAGCAATTAGATGCAGTGTTAAAAAAATGGTTCTTCTATGGTTCTTTAGTAAAGACAGTTGTTCTATATAGAACCATGAACACTTAAAGAAAATTTGCATACTTAAATTGTTCTAAGCATGGTGGAATGGTTCTTCAGATTGATGGAGAGTGTGTTGCATATGGCTCTATGTAGCACGAAAAAGCGTTGTCATAACAATAGCAGAACGCTTTTGCGTGCTAAATAGAACCATTTTTCAAAAAGGTTCTATATAGAACCACATATAACACATCCTCCATCAATCTGTCAAACGTTTGACATGCTTAGAACCATATAAGTATGAAACTGTTCTTTTAGTGTTCATGGTTCTATATAGAACCACCATCTAGTAAAGAACCCTTGAAGAACCACCTTTTTTAAGATTGCAGATCAGGTGGGGTCGATTAGAATTGGAGCTGAAGTCTGCAGAAAGGCAGATCTCCAGGAACAGCGTTGGTGATCACTGCCTTAGAACCACTACAGTATTTCACATATACAATAAAAACAGACAGTATAAAAATACAGTGCCCTACGCTGCATCAGAGCACCATATTTCCCCAAAAGAACCCTGTAATGCCTCTTTTGGGACTTAATCTCTATTTGCTTCATCTGAATTGTACAATTTATATGTTAGTTTTTCTCCCTTGAGGTTCACTTATGACGTCTGTGTAGTTTTATTTACCAAAAACAGTCGTAACTCATTTTCACATGATCATTTTCCAGCCTTTCTTTATCCCTCACAATTAAACAGGCTGCTTTTGTTACGGTGCCTTTAAGGCAAGGCAAGTTTATTTATATAGCACCTTTCATACACTGCGGCCATTCAAAATGCTTTACAAAAGAGAAAATACAAATATAATTCAAATTAATTAGATGTAGGAGAACAGAAATTAAACCCATGATTCAAACAATAGGTTTAAAAGTAAGCCTAACATGGAAATAAGCTCTGTTCTGATTGTATTTTTAACAACAAAGTCACTCTGAGCTGAAACACTCCTTAGAACTTCAGTGTGAGTGGGTGGAGCTAAACTGCTGTAGGCTAAATAGGTGGGTATATGTAAATGAGTTGGGTTCTGCAACATTACATAACTCAAAACAGCTTAGTTTCCATCTGTGTCCTATCAGGTGTGCTGTGAGGTTGGTGGCAATTAAACAGCCCCATCTCAGAGAAGGTCTAGCTATATTTCTATAGCTAGAAAACTATGTAATTCCAAATACATTAGTTTAATAGTTTTGAAGTGTGACCAATTATTCTAAAATAAGGAATATAATAAAAATAAAGAAAAACCCTTTGATAGGTAACAGTTTTCAAACTTCATTATACCAATATGAACACGTCAATACACACCTATTATGAATCGGTCCATTGAATGTGGGGTCATATTGGGCTGGATCACCTGAAAAGACAAAGCATTGTTATTACCACACACAATATGGAAGTGTAGTAATGATCATACACAGTTTAGAGATGAAATTATTACTCAGTGTAAGAGCACAGTTAGTACTGCACAGTTTAGAGGCTAAACTATTATTACACACAGTTTGGAAGCACAGCTATTACTGAGTGCATTCTGGGAGGTGAGCTACTGTTACACATTCTTTAGAATGGCAGCTATTATGTTCCACAGTTTGGAAGCATAGTTATTATTACGTACAGTTTAAAATCAATGGGCCTCATTCATCATCCATTCTTATGAAGAAACTTCTTCTCAAAAGCCACATAGGCAGATTTCACTAAGATTCTGACATTCACCAACATTTTCTTATCTGGGATTTGAGCACAAAGGTGAGAACAGTTCTACGCTTTAAACACACGTCATGAATCTGTCATAGACTTTTTCTTAGGACCTTTCACAAGAACACATTTAAAAAAAAAAAAGGAAGGTTTTTGTGAATAGGGCTCAGTGTTATTATTATGCACAGTTTGGGAGCGCAGCTATTACTGCGCACAGTTCGGGAGCGCAGCTATTACTGCGCACAGTTGGGAGCGCAGCTATTACTGCGCACAGTTGGGAGCGCAGCTATTACTGCGCACAGTTCGGGAGCGCAGCTATTGTTGCGCACAGTTCGGGAGCGCAGCTATTGTTGCGCACAGTTCGGGAGCGCAGCTATTACTGCGCACAGTTGGGAGCGCAGCTATTGTTGCGCACAGTTCGGGAGCGCAGCTATTGTTGCGCACAGTTCGGGAGCGCAGCTATTGTTGCGCACAGTTCGGGAGCGCAGCTATTGTTGCGCACAGTTCGGGAGCGCAGCTATTGTTGCACACAGTTCGGGAGCGCAGCTATTGTTGCGCACAGTTCGGGAGCGCAGCTATTACTGCGCACAGTTGGGAGCGCAGCTATTGTTGCGCACAGTTCGGGAGCGCAGCTATTGTTGCGCACAGTTCGGGAGCGCAGCTATTGTTGCGCACAGTTCGGGAGCGCAGCTATTACTGCGCACAGTTGGGAGCGCAGCTATTGTTGCGCACAGTTCGGGAGCGCAGCTATTACTGCGCACAGTTCGGGAGCGCAGCTATTACTGCGCACAGTTGGGAGCGCAGCTATTGTTGCGCACAGTTCGGGAGCGCAGCTATTGTTGCGCACAGTTCGGGAGCGCAGCTATTACTGCGCACAGTTCGGGAGCGCAGCTATTGTTGCGCACAGTTCGGGAGCGCAGCTATTGCTGCGCACAGTTCGGGAGCGCAGCTATTGCTGCGCACAGTTTGGGAGCGCAGCTATTACTGCGCACAGTTGGGAGCGCAGCTATTACTGCGCACAGTTCGGGAGCGCAGCTATTGTTGCGCACAGTTCGGGAGCGCAGCTATTACTGCGCACAGTTGGGAGCGCAGCTATTGTTGCGCACAGTTCGGGAGCGCAGCTATTGTTGCGCACAGTTCGGGAGCGCAGCTATTGTTGAGCACAGTTCGGGAGCGCAGCTATTGTTGCGCACAGTTCGGGAGCGCAGCTATTACTGCGCACAGTTCGGGAGCGCAGCTATTGTTGCGCACAGTTCAGGAGCGCAGCTATTGTTGCGCACAGTTCGGGAGCGCAGCTATTGTTGCGCACAGTTCGGGAGCGCAGCTATTACTGCGCACAGTTCGGGAGCGCAGCTATTGTTGCGCACAGTTCGGGAGCGCAGCTATTACTGCGCACAGTTCGGGAGCGCAGCTATTACTGCGCACAGTTCGGGAGCGCAGCTATTGTTGCGCACAGTTCGGGAGCGCAGCTATTACTGCGCACAGTTGGGAGCGCAGCTATTGTTGCGCACAGTTCGGGAGCGCAGCTATTGTTGCGCACAGTTCGGGAGCGCAGCTATTACTGCGCACAGTTCGGGAGCGCAGCTATTGTTGCGCACAGTTCGGGAGCGCAGCTATTACTGCGCACAGTTCGGGAGCGCAGCTATTGTTGCGCACAGTTCGGGAGTGCAGCTATTATTAAGCACAGTTTAGACGTGCAGCTATTATTAAGCACAGTTTAAAAGCACAGTTTAGACGTGCAGCTATTATTAAGCACAGTTTAAAAGCACAGTTTAGACGTGCAGCTATTGTTGCACACATTTTAAAAGCACAGTTACTACAATGTTTTGAAGTGTAAAGTGCAGTTATTGTTGCACATAACTGAACTCATCACTCACAATGAAGGCAGGTGTTTTCACTGCTGCCTTGTCTCGTCAGTGGCTCTGGATTGGAGCATGTGCCAAATGACTAAATGACACTCTAAATGCATAAGTGTAGTTATTACAACCCACAGTGTGGTTAACGGAGATCCTGAAGCTCCACATCCAGTCGTGTCCAAACACACATCAGCAGCTCTTTAATGTGTTTACTCTTTGTGTTTGCATTTCCCATCTGCTAAACCAGTTCAGCAGGAAGCAAACCCAGGATAGATCATCCTGCTCAGGCTGATGTGTACAGAAAGACTTTACTTTATCTGGAGGAAAAATAATCAAATGCGGCTGATCTTAAACCTGTAATACAGGCTGAACAGAGAGCAGAGACAATCCACACAAGCCTAAAATGCCCAGTATCCTGTTTTCCATGGAAATAGATCAACCTTATTAATAGTGACCTGTTTTTCTTTTCTGTTTTGTAGTAGCTGTTTGTGTTACTGAGGCCTAAATTACTACTTAAACCACTACAAGCAAATATTCACTGCAATAAATACATCAATATTCACTCAAAACTGTCACATGTAACAGTCAAATCACATTTCTTGAAGTCTATAAGCTTCTAATACAAATTCACACTGTTAATAAAACTCCAAAACAGATTATTTTTATTAATAAGCACCTCTAATTCAGTCAAATCAGTCGTAAACCTCTAACAGAGAATTTATGTAGTTTCTACAACCAACAAACCACAACTTGCGCAAAATGCAGCTTTAGTTTAGTCTTTACTTTAGCGTTTAGTTTTTTTTTATTGTTTCCTTTGTTTTTACTGAAATAATAATATTATTATTTAATTTAATTTACTTTAATTTTACTTTAATTGTAATTATTATTAATACATCTCTTTTTCTGCTATTTATTATTTTTTATTTTTGATCTTTATTCTTTTCTTACTCTTGTTTCTACTCTGTATTGTGTAACACTTTGAGCTGCATTTTGAATGTATGAAAAGGAGCTATATAAATAAACATTATGATGATGATGATTATTATTATTACTACTAAGTGTCAGTTCATCGAACTCATAAGCATTTAACAGATTTCTGTAGTTTATGCAATGTCATGCACTAGTGATGGGCAGAAACAGATACAATTTTATACAAAATGGTGCAGCTTTTAAATTTTCCATGGCTCATAAATCAAAAACGTTTATTACTTTCAAAATAATTAACTGTAAAAAGTTAGTTCTTATTTTGAGAGAAAAAAAACAAAATTTAAATATCTAAGTGCTTCTATGTGGAGAGACAGAGGGCCACATTTGCTCCAATACACCTAAAAAATATGATTAATTAAGAAAAAATACAATTTTAGCAATATATGCTTTTGTATGATTTTTAGCAAGCCATAAAATTTCTCTCTTTACTGCCTGTTTTGTTAAACAGATCTAAAACCAAATAACAATGTCTGAAAATTCCATGCATCTAACATCATTTGTCCAAGTTATGTCATATCAAAGTTTGCACTTTTACCCACAGAACAAATTTCCATGCAAAAGAAGACCACGCCCACTTTTTAAAGCATTAATCTCAGAAACTAATGAAGACACAAACCTGAATTTTGGCGCATGATCTGTTGGCACAATGACTTTATTTTAGACTATGAATGTTTTCTGAGAGTCTGGTTTGAGATGAATTTCACTAATTTAATTGTAAAGTGTAACAATTTCAGTACACTTCGTAAAAATTCATGAGGGCGTAAAGCAACACAGCGGGAGGTAAAACTGGCTGATTCGCTCCTCGCCCTCATTCACCGTCATTCCTGGAAACCGCTGCTAATGATCAAAGTGCCATCAGGGTGCAGCCTATCAGAGTGACGTGTGAGAGGGCGGGGCTTGTGTGTGGACACACCCACTCTCACATGACTGAGACTTTTTCCTGAAAAGCTTCTAAATTCACTTCTTGAGTTTTTTTTGTGTGACTGAAAATTAAATGGTGTCTTAATCTCAGAAGGAAAATCATATCAAACCTAAAATGAACCTAAACCCACTCAGATACACTCGTTTATCAGAAACTCTGTCTATCCCTCCATAAACTCATGACCACAACAGACCACTGAGAGTTTACATCTCTCCATGGGTTCATTAACCCGTTACCTGGCAACCATGATACTATTACTGCTGTACGACACGACAGAGCTAATGAGACAGAGAGAGAGAGAGAGAGAGAGAGAGAGAGAGAGAGAGAGAGAGAGAGAGAGAGAAAGAACAGAGAGACAAAAAAGAGAAAGAGAGAAAAAGACAGAGAAAAAGAGAGAGAAAGAGAGAGGGGGGAGAGAGAGAGAAAGAGAGAGAGAGAAAACAGAGACAACAGAGGGGGACAGAGAGAGAGAACAGACAGAGAGAGACAGTAAGAAAGAATAGAGAGAGGGAGAGAAAGAACACAGAGAGGGAGAGAGAGAGGGAGAGAAAGAATAGAGAGAGGGAGAGAGAGAGGGAGAGAAAGAACAGAGAGAGAGAGGGAGAGAAAGAGCACAGAGAGGGAGAGAAAGAACAGAGAGAGAGAGAGGGAGAGAAAGAGCACAGAGAGGGGGAGAAAGAACAGAGAGAGACAGGGAGAGAAAGAGCACAGAGAGGGAGAGAAAGAACGAGAGAGAATTTGAGGATTTGAATGTAATTTGCATTCAGAGCTGAAAGTAAAGTGAAAACAGCCCCTCCTCTCTGTGTCCTCACACTGAGAACGAGTTTATGGGTTTATTACGAGGCAGAATGACTTTATTGCAAAAGATGCTGCACTCTGGAGGAATTTCCCATCATA